GTTCGTGTTTTGAAAGATGGTAACATTTTCCTTCTGTGTAGCTGTGAGAGGAATTCACTGAACATTCACAATGAATTTTGGGAATGACCATTAAGTTTTAGCAGTGCTATGAAAAGTACAGATAACAGAAAACCCATGCTATAAAAGAACTTGTGCATCTAAAGCAGAGATCTATCACTTCTTCCTTCACTCTATGTGGGTTTATTATTTAGGCCAAACTTGTCAAACCAAGTCCAATTAATGGTTTTTAAATTCTGATACACCATCACTCCAGATTCAGCCCATAACTGAAAGTTCATAGGCCAAAGCTAATGATTTGTCTTCCAAGTAAGAGATACCTGAGACACTAAGGAAAGGGACAAAGGGGGAACTTATTTCCCAGTTCTGTCTCACTATTGCTCTTCTTAAGTCTTGAGCAGATAGGGAAATCTGCTACCTTCTAACCTCAGCAAGAATCTCAGTGTATTTACTGACCATGTTATCTACAACACTCATGGCTCTTGCTGAAGCCTTGTATTAACACACAACATGGCAATAGCTTAGATTAATTACATATTATGCAACATAGCATTTTATCTTCTTGAATCATTTTTAAATGGGATGCTCTTTAGTTTTCCTGAGTTGTCATTGGGAAAGGAATGTAAGTCAGTTCAGTTTTGCTTCTCCGTCTCCTTTTAGATCCTTTTAATACATCACCTTTGTAATGTTACAGTTCTGTTGTGGCAGTGGTTACTCCAGCTTCATGCTGGGGTAGTACAAATCAGGTAACGATCGTTTTTCATCCTCCTGTTTTTCCTCAGGCTGGATGTCTTCCACTCCTCTCTTTGAATATTCCACAAACTGTCTTTTGCCCATTCTATGTGTTGAAAGTAGCCCAAAACCTAGGGATCAGAGAAACTCATCAGTTTAATTGTGTATGTTTATCCCTGGGCACTGGGCTGATGCATACATAAAGACGTATGCTGAAGCTTGTTTTACTCACTAGTTGCAGCTAATTTTGAACCAACCACTGCTTCAAAGTTTTCTTTCTCACACTTTACCTTTGTGCCCAAATTACTAAGCTGGATCAGCAGTTCCTACATGACCTTTATCATTCCCAGTTTTGAACAATTGTTGTAATTGTGCATTTTCTTGTACCACCAGAACAGATAAAGACATGAAACACTTCTTATCTCTCTCACAGGTTAATTATTACACTGCACAGCCCAATGACTGCAACACTGTAAGGTAAAATAAGATAAGGAATCCTCCCTGATTTCCAGCTAACAGTTCATACCAACATACTTGCTTTGCTAATCTCTGCTTCAACCACTTGCTTTCCACGTGATATATTTCTCTAATAGGAAGAATCTGGCTATTCCTACATATTCAGCTACACTACCTCACAGCCCGCCCAAGTAATTTCCATTTTATGAGAACTGGTAACATATTTTTTGTAGCCTATAGGAACATAAGACACTAAACTTTTCCCATATGATTCTTAAGGATGCAGGAATGTAGTAAAATGTGTATTTCCACAGTACTCTAATAAGGCTTGACTTTGTCGTGCAGAAATCAATTACCTATCACAAATAAAATGAGATAAATCTATTTTCCTTGCCTCCACAAGTAGAAGCACAAAAGGGTAGCTTTCTCTTCACCTCCTGCATCATCACAGTAGGATGATCTTATGTGAGGATAAGGAGCACAGCCAACTGACAGTGGCCAGGAAGGAGCAGAATGTCACATAGCTCAGGAATGAATACTGAGCTCTTCAGCTCCAGCACCACGTTGTCTCCTCCAGGGGCCACAGCGCAATTCCTTTTGTGAGGAAAGTTGATGTTCTTGGAGAGAGGACACAAGGTCAGGCCTGGGAGCACTGCATCAGACACAGCCATAGAGAAACAGTTGTGCATTTGGGCTCTCTACTGAGAACTGCCCGCAAGTCAGTTCTGTTAGTGTTAAAATTGCCATTATGGAAACATCCTGCACTTGAGCAGAAGGATGCAAACATCCAATTTAAAGATACTAATGAGAGAGTACTGGATACTTTGACTGCCAGAAACCTGCATGCTCATTTGCAAAAAGTTAACTACCCTTCTTGTTTTTTGCTTTAGTAACCAATTTGTTCCATTACAGAGTAAAGGAGAAGACCAAGATAGAAATGCAGGACACGATCTTATTCCTGTTACTTTATGTGATGTAAGTCAAATATAGGAGTTTTGTTTAAAATAAGAAAAGAACTAGAGGTAGCACTTTTATACAACTGACAGGAGTAATTTTCATCGGGATAAAATAACCTTCCTCTCAGCCCTGGTATTTGCCAAACTGATCATTGACAAAAGGCTATCTCAAAAGATTGTTGTTAGTTTTCGGTTTTCCCTCCTCTATTTTCTCTGTTCTAATACTAACCAACAATGTTGGTTAAGTAGACTACCAGAATCTCAGATTTAGTAACATCACTTGGTGTGCAGTCCACAATTGCACATTTAACACTACTTAAACAACGACTGTTTGAAATTCGGACTGAAAGCTGATACCAAACACTCATGGATTTCTTCTGCCTCAAAATACAGAAACATCTGCTTGCTATGGCAAAGTGGTTTCCCCCCACTCCCCATTTGTCTATAATGCAGATTTGGAATATGTATCAAAAAATACAGGGTGAAGTTTTTTGCTGTTAAGTGTGAGCCAGTCCATGGAGCACGTACAGCTTCCTTCGGATGACCTTGTGCTGTCATTGACAATATTAAGCTCACCCTCACACAGGAATGTGCTGGAATGCAGTTTCTGTATTTCCTGAGTAAAATAATTATCCAAATGAAAGGAAGTCAAGTTACAGTCTTCTTGAATATAGCTAAATCTCTCCTACCACTGCTGCAGGAGAAAATAAAAAACATTACTGGAGTTTCTTTACAGCTCTGCAATGGAACAATTGATAGAAAACCAGCAGGACATTTCTAAGGAAAATTCATTTCTCTTACCCTTTCTTCCCCTCAGATGATCTTCATCCCAATCGTTCCATCCTATTTACGAATATAAAAAAAAAAAAGAGTACTGCTCTTCAAGACCCAAGTGCAGCAGCAGGGTAGTTTTCACATCCTTTTCCTGACATCCATAAACCACAAAGAGTAGGAATGTGATTTCAAAGACTTTTCTCCCATGTTCTTGTAATGGAATCTTCACATAAAAACTGCTGCCTTCCTTCTTGGAAATAAGAGAATTTTACTACACCAGGAAATCCCAGAAGTATTTGAAAGAGCTACAGCCCACTTCTTTTTTTTTTTTTTTTTTTTGCAAGCATGCACACATGCACTCTGTGTATCCCAATGCACTATTTCTTATATAGAACTGGATTTAGTGTATACATCAGCTATGTCTTCCATCTCCCCTCCCATGAATAGAAACATCTTTCAAAGAAAAACAAGTAACTTCATTGCAGGAAAAAATTACAGCATGTTGAAAATCGTCACGTGAAAGCAGAATCAGATCCCATATTTGCTGGCCATTAGCTGCCTCAAGTGTTGTACAGCAAGGAAGGCGGGAGCCACTTCTCAAGACACTGAAGACACCCAAAATTTATTGAAGGTTTTCAAGTCTTTCAAAAACCACCAGAAAAAATGAAGCACAGCTCACTTTCAGAATAGAATTAAATGCTCTTCTTCTGTTTCTTACTAATACAGATGTGCATTGTATTAATATACAAATAAACTCACTTGTAGACCCACACAAATTAAAGGGGAAAAAATAGCAGCCTGGAGAGAACAGGGTTGTAATTTTGCTTACGTATAGATACGTAACAGTATTTTAACTCTGTCTCTGCTGTAACAGATCAGGCTACCTATAGCAAATGCTGAGCTCTTACCTTGCCATAGACTGAGAAAGCAATTGGTTACATGAAAAGTAGTACCTTTCAAGAATATAAAAAAAAATTAACACAGTATTATTAAAAACTTGGTCCTTCATGTGAACCAGGGAGTAAGAAAAAAAAATGGTGGCACATTTATTAATTTCCCTAAACTATGAATATATGATAACCATCTCCAGAACCTGTTTCTGCAGATGGTAAATAAATGGTCTTGTTTTCAAGGCTGCTTTATTCCTTAACAGTTGAGATATTCAGAGGAAGTAAAAAAATAGAATTTTAAGGTCTATGGCGAGTGCCCAAGTCTCAAGTTCTGAAAACCTTTATGGAAGTGACCTATGTCTGCTGCACTGCTTATTGTGGCTATTTCTTGGCTGCTGGTTTTGCCCACATAATATTTTATTTCATTTTCTCCCAATTACCTTACTGCACGCTATGAAGTGCCTATTTGGGAAAGCAAGAAACTCAAGAAAGCAGTGCAAGGGCTATGCATTATACAGCTCTGCCATTCCACACAGGGACTTCAACACACTTACCCTAGGAAATGATTTGGCAGCAGTTATACTCTCCTCTCAGACACATTTATGGCAGTGTTCCTCCCAAATAATTGCCATCAGCCATCTACTTCTAACGCAGCTTCCTGTATTACGAATCGTAACCACAGCACTACATGATGTTGCAGCTTAGAAGAAAGTGCATTAGCACAGAACAGGTACTTCTACAGTTTGGGTGGATTAGACCTATCTAGGACTTCAGTAATGAAACTGATAGCGCGGGAAATTCTTCCTCATGCAAATGAATTGAAATGTGTTCAGAGAGAGTATTTTAGAAACAACCATCTCATCTCTTGTATCACTGCTTTTTTGTTTTGCTTCCTAGGAAACAAATCTAACATGTACAACACAGAAAAATTCACACGCAAACTGACCTGAAGAACTCTGGGTAAGCACTCACTCTCTTCCAATTGATGCAAGAGTCCCAGAGGAAATACATCTAAGTTCTGCAGATAATAATGTTTGACTTCAAATACACGTCATGTGTCGCTGCATATACTGAAAACAAGAAATCTTCATAGTTATTCACATATGCACACATACATGCACTGGGTACTTCAAAATAGCATCCATGTGAATAAAAATATACTTCCAACAACAGATTTTCTCTATTAAATTCATGTTTATTGCTTAAGTTTTATCACAGTGGAGATTAAATTACGCTTAATCATCCGGTCAGTGCTTTTGTACCTTCTTCAATGCAAAAAAAAAAAAACAACATTTAAACCAAGTCATTCATACACTCGAAGTCTTACTACCATCCCACCATTCATCGCCTCCTTGTGTTCCTTTAGTTGACACAAACTGTAAGATTGTAAAAAGGTCTAGCTAATAGGCTTATTTATAACACCATTTTCTTCAAGTATTCAGAATGCAGTACAAGTAACTGTACCACGTATTAGAAAGATATCTGTACTGTTATTTATTGCTATAGGATAGAGGCTCATGATGGAATGGTAATGAAATATTGCATCACTGTGTATGAGGATGATCTCAGCACTCTGTTACTGTCACAACTCTTCCCATGTTAGTGAACAACACTAAGTAAAATGGGTTTCCTTCCTTCCTCTTCCAGGCATGGGATTTCGAACTACAAATAAATAAAGCATACACTCACAACGTGTGTAGTGCAAATTCCAAGTAAACAGAATGACATGGAAATAAATGGATAGTTGCCAACTCCGGTTTGGCAGGGCCACGCTGATTTTGCCACTAGGTGCCCTGCCTCCCTGCCCTGGGTTAGCACTGCACCACCACAGGGTTCCGTGTCAGCTGCAGTGATTGAAAGAGATTGTTGCAGGGAGGGTCCGGAGCTGGGGACAGGAGGCACAGCTGCCCCACACTTTGCACTGGCTCAGCTGCACTCCATGTCGTGCCTCCCGCTGAGCCTTGAGCTGGAGGTTGGTGCCTCCCAGCAGGCAGCCTCCTGCCCCGCGGTCTCAGAAGGGACGTTGGCAACTATGGGAAATACGGATTGCGCGGCCCATGCTAAGAGAAAGTAATAGTTTCTCAGATACAACCATTGAAAGAGAACGTCTACAACATTGTGAATTAGAAAAAAAAAAAAAAAAAAAAAAAAAACACAGAAAAATAATGAGAATTAATAGGAAAGACATTCAACTTTTAGCTTTTTCTTGTTTGTTTCTTAAATCCCAAATAGCAGTTTGATTCTGCCCTGCTTCAGGCCACTACAAAACCTTCTGCATTAAGCACAGGGGTGGATATTTTTTTTGCTTTGTTTCATTTATTTTAATTATGCAAATCTACTTCCCACACAGCCATATTTAAACTGAAATAGAATTCCCTAACATTTTCATGGCATAAATTACATACGTAGAGAAAGGCAACAAATACAATTTTGTATAAATTAAAAATTAAGACTTATTGTAGACTTGCTCAGTACTCGTTTCTCTAAAGCACTGGTAGTGAGCAGAAGAGTCATGCAGCTTACCAGAAAACACAGTATATATTTTTGCCATTTTTCTTCAGTGCTTATTTTAAGAATTTTTTTTTTTTAATGTCTGTGTTCTCAATTTGTAATTTCCTATTTCTTGCACAAGCATCGGGAATTTTTTTTTTTTTAAAGAGCATTCTTACACATATTGAACCTTCAACATATGAAACACAGAGCTAGCACTAAGTTCTCTCATCTAAAGATGGACATAATAATAAAAAAATAAAAGGGAAAAAAACCTCTGCAAATAAAAAGAGACCTTTCCTCATTTGGGACACACACATTTAGCTTTAAAAAACTGAAAATTCATAAATATGATCATTATATAACTTTAGAGGATTAAGGCTTCTAAAAACTTCAGTGCCAAAATAACCTTTCTGCATCGGTATTAAGAATAAAATATTTCCGTTTTAGGTTGTGCTTGGTTTTTTTTTCATTTTTTTTTTAAATACGTTCCTTAGTTCCATAGAATTTTGTCACATATTATTACATACTGAAGGGGAGTGTTAGAACTGCTTATTGATGTTTTAAGTACTTGTTAGACTAAGTTACAGCGATAAAACTCAATTACTTTACATGAGGGGTTGGCTCATTTCACCTTTTATTCATGCTTAATGTGGCCATTTCTTCTATGCTTGCCATTTGGTATCCCGTTCTGGTAATGTCCATTAACAGTGCTATGTTCATCATTTGACCAAATATGTTTGCTTTGTTTGCGGATAAATTTTGTTAGCTTGGCCAAAATATAATAAAATAAGGCAGCACCCACTAATACAACAAAGGCAATATCCAGTAAGAAATACTGATATAGAGAGATGCTGTAAACAGCAGCACGTAGATGTTGTGCTCCGTTGTGACGGAGGATGTAGTTAATCCAGTACACAGTCCGGTTAACAGGATGACCAGGTTGGTCTTTGTGAATTTCAGACAGCCTCTGAGCCCGTTGCCTGTAGCTGTATGAAAGAGATGAAGAAAATGGAATAAGGTAAAAACCGTAGCCAGTGCTGAGCAATGCAAGTCTCTGTAAACATATAAATGCACACAGGAGATCGAAAGGCGTCCTTCTAATGCAGGACTGTCTCATTAAACCTCATACAGAGGAATATATACAAGGCATAATCTCTTTACATCTGTCACTACAGCTCACTGACAAAGAATTATCAAAAGTACAAAACCACAGGTGACTGAAGGCTGAAATCCACCCTTCAACAGCAGGACAGTAGAAGGGATAAAGTGTCCATTCCATCTGCTCTCAGGCCGGAATCCTATCTAATCCCAAGTGAATGGATTTGCCCTTCCTGCTCACAGTGGCAACATACTCCAACAGGCCACTCACGCTATTGTGCAACTAAGTTATTAGAGAAATACGACAAACGGAGAAACTCAGTTTTATACTAACTCTTTGGCCCAGAGTTCAGCCTAAAACTGATTTTTCATAATGGGTTACCTCCAGCAGAGGATCACATTAAACTCCTTCCCATCTCACATCTGCAGGGTCAACAGGTTATGTGAGCAGAACTTGCCTTTTTACTGGGGACAACTATACAAGAGAAAGCCGGGGCAACTGAGATTTCTTTAGCAATACTCCTCTTTACTGAGCTTCTGCTGCTAACAAGCTCATTTTTTACAGATTTCCCCTTTTCCAAGGCAAGTGCTGCTTAAAGACTTTGTTCCCATGAAAGCAAGAAACGTTGTCATCATTGTACTTCAAAACATCTACTAACTTCATACAAAAGAACTGAGCTGAGTCATTCTTTTTAATCCAGAGATTGTCTGCACATCCCTAGTGTTTAAACTGACTCTCCTCAGACTTTGGTATTTCTGAGTAAATTCATTTGATGACACTAAAAAAAGTTATGAAACCCAGTTCATGAAGTTGCCTGTATTGCATCTGAATGACAAAAAAAAATTATAGAAAGAGGCTGGGATCCTCATATAAGGCTTGTTGCAAGTTCCAATCAATGTGAATAACCTTTCCAACTCGAAGATCTATGTTAGAGATATCTTCTTTCTGCCCAGAAAGAATTTTTCTTTTCTTTTCTTTTCTTTTCTTTTCTTTTCTTTTCTTTTCTTTTCTTTTCTTTTCTTTTCTTTTCTTTTCTTTTCTTTTCTTTTCTTTTCTTTTCTTTTCTTTTCTTTTCTTTTCTTTTCTTTTCTTTTCTTTTCTTTTCTTTTCTTTTCTTTTCTTTTCTTTTCTTTTCTTTTCTTTTCTTATAAATCACTTTTTGACTACCGCCATGTTTTCAGCTACAAGCCAAATGCAGCATCCTGCAACAGTACAGGTGTACTTTTCTTAGGCCTCCTTATGGAGCGTAACAGATTGCTAAATATATTACTGTACTGTAATCAAGATACAAAAAAAAGAGATACTGGCCTGAAGCAAAAAGTCATTCAGTCTAGGTTTGTTTCTGTAACCTTGTTGTTCTACTCGTGGCAAACGTCGCAGCCACAGAAAAGCAAATGAGATGTGAGCTTTGGTATACTGATCAACAAGCTGGCATCTATACAGAAATATCGTACTTGAGTAATCCTGTGAAATGGGAACAACTATTCAAAGTCTTGCCACTGCCATGCACACAAGTAAACACCAACACACATTTTTTCCCTTGCGTGAAGGCTCTGTATCTAACCTACAACAATGAATTAAAATAAAAGCAAGAAATAATTACTCATTCCATACCTGGGATCATTAATAACTTTTTCTAGTGCTTCATATAATTCACTCTCAGTGACAGTCTTCCAGTTCAACAATATTCCCATGCCTTTGGCCTGCACTCGAGTCATAGTATCGTAATGGTCTCCGAAAAGGGGAATTCCCACCACTGGAACCCCATGATACATGGTTTCAAAAATGCTGTTCAAACCACCATGACTAAGAAAAGCTTTAATGTTAGGGTGACCTGGAAATACAAGAAGCACACACATACACACAAAAAAATTACATCTCCTTGATGTAGCATTATTGAAGCAATTGGTTACAATACATTTATCACTGAATCAGAGAATCACAAGGTTGGAAAGCACCTACAAGATCATCTAGTCCAACCGTCAATTGGATTCCTGTACCTCCAGTTTGGGAAGGTAGAATGAATGCAATTTTTTTCTGAAGTTTCCACCTACTTAAACCCACTCTGCAGAAATTTTGAATGCATTGGGTTATTTCATTATATATGAACAGAGATGAAACAGCCAATGTGAATTAAAATTATCGTGTCTGAGTTGTCTAGAATTACAAACGTCACTCCAAAAGTAATGCTTCCTTATTTCCATGAAAACTACAACAGATGGAAAGAGCAGAACAACACTTGATACAGCAAATTCTCAGCTACAAAACACTGTTCTTCAATATTATTGCCACCAATAGCTGGTTTGTGTCCATGAGCTGATTGAGGTGCTCTTCATTTCATGATGTAACAACTGTGTATGGCTGTATTGAATATGGCTTGTCTTTTCATGCCATTGCTCCCCACTGCTGAAATGCATTTCCCACGGCCTCACTTGCTAACAGACATTGTTTGGCCTCCAAAAATGTTCAGCGACTGTCGATGAACATAAATGGGTGCCATTTTGTCTGCAGGGAGGAATTGAATTCCACACCTCTACTACATATATGCTTCCACATCAGACACTGTCCTCTAAGATTGCCCCTCTGCTCCCACCTGTTGCATGGCAACAAAACACAGCAGAATATTGGTCAGAAGGTTCAACCTCTACTGCACAGCACAACATCTGCCTCTGACATTGTGGGCCAACATCAAAGAACAGGAGGCACTACTTTCAGAGCGGTCCTCTTATTAATGGAGTAATTAATACACTATCTACTCCTGAGTAACTGCAGTTGGTGACTAGAACTGGTATTTACCTGTTTAATATTACAAATGAATGACAGAAAGAACGCTTTTCCTTATTATTCATATGAAAGACAAGCTATTTAATAACAGGACAACTGATGTTGCATTCTCTGAAGCTTTACATGCCTTACTTCAGGCTAGCAAGAGATGACAATAATGACAGCAATATACTCCCCTACTGCTATGCAATGAGAAATGAGAGTGCCTCAGCACAATTTAGTAACGAAAAATATCTACTTGGTTCAGAAGTCATTTGCCTAATAACTAATTACAGTGACTACTCTGGTTGACATGAATGTACATTGACACACACACATTCTTAATGTATTATTCATTATTATACCAGATATTGTGCAAATGCACGAATGTCTAAGTGTCCCAGAAACAGTATTTTGCAGATCCTAGGATCCAATAAATTCAGCTACACTTTAATACAGGAGGAAAGGAAAGAAAAAGCAAATACACATACTCTAATATATAAACTTTACCAAAAGATGAAGGAAGACCAAGCTTTATTGCTCCATTCTCAGAGCATCTCAGGATAGTTAAACAGAAATATTATTATCAATTTGCAACACATCCCTAATTTCTGTTACGGATTTCATTGGAAAAATTAAAATATATATATATCAGTAATATTAATAATAAACATGTAATCAGTATGTTCATGCCTAAAGACTTGGTGTAATATGAACAAATTTTGTATGTTTGGTTTGGAGATTCTTTCATGAATAGTCTAGTTAAGTGCATACCACAGCTTCTTCACTACTGAGAAGTTCACACTTACAGTCACCAATTTGGTGAAACAACAAATTCTAGAAAATTCCCATTCATCTTTCATAATTATTGTTTTTTTTTATTTTGAAGTGCATGCAGTCTTTTCACAACAAACATTTCCATTTATTAAGTGAAACAGAGTTGGGAATGACTATGGCTTTCCACCCAACTGACTGAAGAAAGCAATGGAGTTAACACCAGATAAAGAGCATTAACATCAGAAAGAATGTTTCATTCACCAAGACATTGTGAAGAATGCTATATTCTTGCTCTATGACTTCTTTTACTGTGACTGCTATTTAAATAAAATATTACTGGAAGAGCAAACTGAATTTCAGTGAGAATGAACAATACATCATAATTACAGATACTCACCAAGAAGGTCGTTTTGTGGTAACCATTCTATAAGCTTTGTATTGTTGCCTAGATTCCTTGGTTTGTTTCCTGAAAACCTAAAGCGATAAAATCAAATTGAAGCTACATTATCAAAACCTCCAAAATGTGCAAACTCTAAACAGAGAATCAAACCAAATGATCTAGATTTCTCATTACAATGGGATACTGTTTACTCACCATTACAAGAAAACAAATGCTATAAAAGCAATCAGGTATAATTTCTTTTTTTTTTTTCATCATTCATTTCCTTATAATCTGGCTCAAAATGCAATGATCTCTATTTAAATAATGGCAATACAGCTACTTTAAAAAGCGTATTCTAAGCTGTACCATTGCAACTGGAAGAAAGCTTTATAATCCTTTTGTGACTCTGAGTTTGCTGCTTTACTGAAAACTGATTAATACTACATGAGTAACTCCACTGATAACAGCACGTCAGCACATAAAAAGTAAACCCCACTACCAACATAAGGCATTCCCATTCCGTTGGTCAGTTTCCGACAGCTCTTAAGAGCTGACAGCATCTCGCTTTAAAAGGAATTACCAGTACAAGGAAGGGAAAGGGTGACAGTCCAGATTACAAGGCAAGAAGCTACCGATGGAAAAGTTGGGATCAGACAGTAGAACAGCTACATTCTGGTTACTTAATCGACTGCCCAAAATCTAGTGACAATGTCTTGCTCACCTGAGTGAGTTTCTTGGGAAAGTTTAATTAACAGAATACAACCTTTAAATACAAACTGATCTGTGTGCCACATACTGCTTTTATGCAAATTAAATATATTCCAAAATGAAAAAGAAGATGGAAAAAAGTAACACTGACTAGAGATTTTTTATATTTTCCTTTTCCTGACAGTTCCAGAAGAGAGCTGTCAGAAAAAAAGAAGTATTCTGGTTATTAGAGAACACTAGAACAGTAACTACATAAAGAACAATCTAGATATTCCCAATTAATTAAAGCAATAAGCCTGCATATTCCATATGTTGAAAAATAAACTAAACAAATTTCTTGACCTTATATAAAAGCAAGTCAACCATAAATCTCATACTGGTTTTGGTGCTAAACAGTACCACATAACCAGAAGAAAATTAAGAACTCTAGGGATTTTCTTGATTTGGCATTCTGACATAAGACTGTCAAGCAATACTATCATTCCCATTCTCAGAAACTTTTAGCACAAAAGCTGCCCTACTTCCAACACAGATCAGAAATCAATAATCTGAAAAGCAGAAAATGACAAAGTGAAACTGGACTCAATTTCATATTTTGATGTCTCGTTATGGAACTCAAATTCCCACTGATGTGACTGAAAGCCATTTGCTCAGCTCTCCCAAAGGCCCCATCTCACAACTAAATATCTTCCCATCCCAGGAATTATGACAGAAAGAAATACGAGTTAGGTCGTTGTTGAGGGACTTTTTGGATAAGCAATGAAAAATAGAACAAAAAAAGAAACAACAACAAAAACAACACTGGTAAGAATGGCACTAGTGAAATAAAATATAAACAACAGAAAGCTTCAATTGAAATTGTTATTTTTGCATTCAAAAAAATCCCCAAGAAAATATTTAAATGATTTCCTTATTTACTAGAGAAAGTGGATACCTCCTACACTAAGAAATCCAGCAAAAACATGATAAAAGCATAGCACAATACAAAAGGCAGTAAGATCAACTGAGATGAATTACAAGCCAAGCACTGCTGCAGTCTTCACAAGGAACAAAGAGCAATGGTTCACATTAATTCCTCTAAATTATATTCCAACGTGATGAAGCACGTGAAGCAGAGCAGACTAACAACAGTTGATCCTCAATTTGCACATTACGTTTAGAGAGCCTCTCACAATGTTTTTACTATAACTAAAAAATCTTATTCTTTCTTCTGCAGAACTTTCCTCCTATTCCTTGAAGAAAAAGACAGTTAAGAGGAACAATTATCAGAGTCCATGTTTGCATAAGATAGGGGGGAAGGAAGTAGGAAAGCTGGTGGGTGAGGGGAAAGCAAGCCCTGAATCCTTCATGGGACTAGATAAGGAGAATGACACACTCACTCCCTAGAATGGCTTCTTGATTAGAAGTGACACAACTAAGTCACAAATGTTACAACCTTTTACACTCTTTTCACTGTCCTCAATCCTAGGATATAAGTTCAGTAGAGGAGTATATAACCTATACATCATCCTGCCTCAAAATCATTGCTCTTTCTTATTGCCAGAGGACCGTCATGCCTGTTCAAAGAGCATCTTTCAAAAGAGTTAGGTTCTCTGTGCCACCCAGGCTGATTTCAGATTCTGCATTAGATGCAATACTAAACATGGCCCAATAGGAAATGACTGTGCTTTCAATTACCCCAAGTACGTGTCATTGCACCTACCTCCAAATAACTCGCTGTGGCAATCTTGCCAGAGCATGTGCTAACTTGTTTGCAACGTCCTCTGACAGATATTTCACTCCAGCTCCAAACGACACGAGGACAAAGCCATTTTCATTAGCACCGTTCACCCATGTTTGGAGATCCTGTTGAAGTAAAGTTTATGCAGAACACTTAGAAGCACAGGTAACCAACAGACACATTAAATAAGCATTGCTTAGCACAGGCATTTTCTGGTCCCTCATTACTTCACAGGTTAAATTTCAGCAGTCATAAACATTTTGGAAATTACTAAGTGCAATGTTTGAAAATAAATGGTATAGACTATGAACATCAAAATTCTTTCAGGTTTGTTCTAGCTTCTGTATTAACAACTAACCTCCCAAGACAATCATTTAACCTGTTACTTGGCACATTCACATGTCAAACAAACAAACAAGAAAAACAACAAAAAACACTCGGTATTCTCACACAGCAAAACATAAGTAGATCTGTCTTGAAGTATCAGCCCCAAAGTAAAACACAGAGGAAAAAAAAAATGAAGAAAGTCAGGGACTCAATTATACCATTTCCAGCATTGAAGAAAATGATAGTACACAATAAAGGTTATTTTTATTTAATTAATATAAAAATAATAAAACAACCTGACAGAAGCCAGAGCCTTCAAAAAACATCTCCCAGCACCAGGCTGCTGCAGCCCTCAGTCCAAAGGGAGGCAAAGCAGGCATGAGGAGGTCTGCTGCAGTCTTAGAGCATCATTCCCAAGTGTTGAGATGACGTGCCAGACTGTGCTATGACACCCACTCCTTCCAGTCAGGAGCTAAAATGGCTGTTCAGTACAATGACAGAGACTTCATGTGTAAAGGAAAAGGCACAGTCTAGCACCTCCAAGCAACTGTGATTACTGCTGAAATCAAGGGTGAAATTTTCATCGGGACTGAAGAAATCAGCAGGCCAGAGACGTGGCCTGAGCCTAGCCGGCACAGGAGACTTCAGAGCTGATGCATTTACCCAAGGCCTGAGCTCCGCTAGCTGTAACTTGCAAAGAAAAGAGGAAAGAAACACACCAATATCCATACAGTTCTAGTATCCAGACCCATGTGTGTACTGCTGAAGGTCTGCTCCTAATACATGAGTACCTGAATATGCACTTCTCTGTGCCAATGTCGTCTCCAACTCCTAGCTGTGAGGGAGAGGAAGGTGGCAGCAATGCAGCTGCTCTGTGACATGCTCTGAGGCATTCCACACACACTTCCAAAAGACCACGAAGTTCTGCGAGCACTGCCTGGTGCGCTGAACTCAGTCTCAGCTCTGTGCTTCACACCCAAGCATCCAAAACGCTGGCCATCCAGCTGCTGTTGGCCACGCAGGCTCGGCAGATCTCTGAGCAGCCAGACACCATTGCGGGATGCATCTGAAAACAGCTGTGTCTGTGAGGAGAGCAAAGCAAGGCCTGTGCCAGTAGTACCAGCTTGCAAGCAAACCCACATCAAGTGCTGCTGGGCACCCTCAAGGTGTCACTGTACTAAAAATCTCCCTGCACTGATTGCAGCCACATTCCCAGCTAGCGTGGCAGACAGGTAACAGTTAAGTTACAAAGGAGACAGCAAAACCTGAGCCTCGGGGCTGACTCTGTGGCAGTGGGGTTTATGTAACTGGTAAAAACGCAAGCCAGCAGATGCACCTACCTAACACTAGCAGCTCTCTGCAGAGTCAGAAGAAAAAACATCTGAGGGCATTAGATGGAGCAGAGCTGCAAGCTAAACAAGTCTCAAACACAAGAGCAATGTCATCAGTCTTCAAAAAGAAAACACAGAAAGATGTAAAAGGTCCACCGTGCCACTGCTTGTGGAAACAAATTCAATTTCTGATTTCCAATACAACTGTTTACAGTGGAAACTAGACAGTTAGCCCACTGACTTACAGATGGCAGCGTGCCAATACCTTATTTTTCCCAGGATTGATTTAACTCCATTATCATCCAATCAAAATGTAAGGCTGCTCAGCAATAGGAAATGAGCAAAAGGAAAATTAAGTGCCCTGTTCACAATGTGCCCCTTGTCCTGGCAATAAATAGCAGGCTAGACAGCAACGGGGCAATGCTGCGCTATCGTATCTGGGCACAAAACCACAAAAGCTATCACAAAAACCAGCAGGCATAACAAAGAATCATACATTAGACACTAGTCCCTCTTGTGCACTGGAAAAAGGGATTTCCATTTTCTCTAGAATTCATGCTTCATTTTTCTTCATCTTTTTTCCAGTACCCTTTCTTCTCCATTTTTTTCCTATATCTGCAAAGGGAAGGGGAGTAAGGGAAAAGGAGGGGGAAGTGTGTGCAACCTGCCTCGAAACTGAATCACTTATTATTGCCTACACTTTTGGCAGAGAAGTTTCCAGATGGTTTTGTGATTTATTTCAAGCTTGTCCTTGAATTTTACTTAAAGACCTGAGGCATGCTCCAAAAATAATTATATTATACTTGCTTAGTGGTTCAACTACTTACATCTTGAGCTACTTCCTATCTGTTCTTTAAAGTTAAACAGAAGAAAAAAAAAGTGGGCTTCAATGATAAGTCTTTCTGAAAATCAATCATGTACTGTGCTCTAAATGACAAATTTGAGACCATCTGCAATACATGATCATGTTATACTCCAAGAACTAAGGTTACCTGTTGTGAAACTCAATGTGTCTTGTGTTCCCCTTCGTGAGCAGGATGCAATTTATTTCTTAGTATGTATCTTCCACACAACTATTTGTTTGTGCTGAATTATCTTGTGGCATTACAAACGTAAGGCTCAAGAAGCCAGTGAGGGAGGCATTCTGCTGCACATCACACTTGCAAACAAGGAAGAACTGGCCATGAATATGAAGGTCAAGGGCAGACCTGTTTGCAGATATTAAGAGGCAGTTGTACAGGATAATGAGAGGACAAGGGTGAGTCTCCTGAACTTCAATAGAGCTGACTTTGGCCTTTAAAGGGACCTGCTTGGAAAATAGGTGCAATATAGTCCGGGAGAGAAAAGAAGGGCTCAGGAGCATTGGTTGATATTCAAAAGCATCGTCTCCTCCAAGCTCAAGTCCAGCTGAGAACATGTTTACTTAAAAAAACCCAAAAAACAAAAACCACCATTGCTGGCACTGCTGCTGAAACACTTTTCACTCAGTATCAAAGTCCTATCTACCATGACTTAGGCTTGGTCAGATATGTGGTTTCTACTAGAAGTTAGCCTGCTGTAACTCAGATATAGCTCCCAACACTACTACTACTTCTCTCCATTGAACTCAATTACAAATTCTGTGATAGGTCACAACTTTGTGATGTATTCACATAATTCAAACTACACATCATTATGTACACATGAGAAGGCGTGTAGTATTTCCTCACACTGACATTTCCAAAACAGTATTCAACAATCTCCATGTGTAGCAAATTGCTATTAAGTTTGAAGAATTTTACGTAAGAGGGAAACGAGAAATGAACTTTACTCTGTACCATAGCAATAGAGTCACTCTAAAAGCAGGCTTTTGCATTTTATTATTGTGCAATAGGAAGGCAACCTATTTTATGTTATTATGGCTCATTTCACAGCCAAACCTTTGTAATTCTTCCCTTTGAAACATGTCCTTGATTCAGTAGAACATACAATAAATGTACAAACATTATGAAGATACAGGCTTTCCATGGGGGAACTTCACATTTTGACAGGTAAGACAAGATCCTGCCAGCAGACTCAAACAGAATGAACTTGTTTGCCATTTTAAGTGAGATTATAAAAACTAACAGAATGCGAATACCTTCCTTTTGTGCAAATAGCAGCTTGTTGAGTGTTTCCTCTCTTGATGCACTTCTTAAGAGTGGGAACACATGCACATCTGTGAGCTCTCACAGCAGGATCCAAGTAATTCAAGTTTCCATTAACTTCAGAGGAAGCACACCTGACTTCAACAGCCAGGCATATGCAAGGAGGTGAAGTGAGGTTTGCCACGCTCTGAGCTGCAGAGGCATAAACCAGCTCTGATTTTACAGTATTTAATTGGATAAAGGTAAGTGCAGTAGGTGAGGACCCATCTCCGAGAGAAACCACCTACATGGCTATCGGAGGCTTCCAGACCAGAGGTGGATGATGCCTGCCCAACTCAAATCTGAAACTTAAGAACTTGGAATTTGTCCTTTGGTTCTATTTTAAAACACAAAATTTGACAGAGGCAAAACTGTTCTGAGCCAAACTAGAAACAATCCAGATTTTCAACTCAGTTTATCATATTTTGACACCAACTAGAAGTTCTTCCATTCAAATTTGTCTGCATTTTACTTAAGCCTTACTTCTTGCTGGTAGTAAGAGGAATTGTTTGCCTGCCTCCTGATCTGCAACTCCTTTCCAATCTGCTTCCCCAGAGGGGTGCTGAAATCACCGCTGCGCAGGAGCTGCAGAAAACAAACTGCAGACTTGTCAGAACAAAGGTTCTCCATGCATATATTTGTATAATTTCTGGCATAACATAGCAATAATTAAATAGGATCACTAAACATTGCTAAAAATGCAAGAGTCGGTAAAAATGAGGAAATGGAGAACAGGGGAACCAATGCTCCCTCTTTGCAAAGTCACATGAGTTAGTGATCTGGAGGAGTCTACAGACTCAGGTTCCTTTAACTTTCTATAACTATTTCTTGAGACTTTTTTTTTTCTAAGTACAGATTTCCTAAGGTAAAGATCCAGCAGAACTGGATCCAAGTGAGCGGTGTTAATAAACCTTTGGTTGCAGAATCATTTGAATGTTCTGCTATAATAAGCAGCATCACGGTACAAGGCTCACCAAATTTTGTACTTCCCTGTTCTTTATGTAGCATATAAAATATAGCAGTAATAGAGTAAAAAAAAAAGAAAAGAAAAGAAAGAAAGCAGAGTACAATCTTGGCACATGAAAGAGGCTGAATACTTCAGCATCTTCATTACTATAGCCATGCACTAAATTCACACATATATATATTCCTAATAAGTGCTTTGTGAAGCACACAGAAATAAGCAATGCAGGATTAGTAGCTCAGAACTTTTGTTTAGCTCTAATCTTGCAAAACCTAAATCACAGAAGAAACTATGCTGATGCAGTAGAACTCTTTTTCCCCCTTAAAATTTCAGCATAT